CCCTGTCGTTAACATGCAGAGGGGTGAGATGATAGTGTTATCCGCGTCTATGATGATAGGATTATTGCCATATAGACTGGTAGGTCCTATACCGTGTCTATTCTTGAACTCTATGAACACGAAACTTTTAAGACAACTGTACCGTACATATGGGATATTCTTAATTAAAAACATTGTTTCTAGGTATAATTGTATTCGCTGGAATATTGCAGACATGGAAATATATTCAGGTTAGATTCTTTGTTGTTGTGAAGTAATACCCAATGGTATTTTAAACAACTGTTTTAAATTGAATAAAAAATCAGACCGGTCATGTATTGTGACCTTGACTATAGTAGTTTACCCCTATACACTACTGACTTTATTGTGAAATATAGATCAACATAAAAATAAAAATACTACTCCGAAGCCTGTGACCTTTCACATACTTTCGGTAATACAACATATTTATAGAAAGCCAATTAATGTTCACGCCGTTGTTTTTAATACTATTAAATTAATGTTGTCTTGCATAACGAGGTACTTATAAGCGATATAATGAATACCAGATCGAAATATGTGAGAGATATGTAATGGGAAATCAAATTCAAATGGGGGGGGGGGGGGTAAATAATTGAAAGTCAGAAGTTATCCGTCTCATACAAGTAATTATAATAGCTTATCAGATATTTAAACAATTTTTCATTAAAACTCGCTGTAAGGAAATAAAACTCTAACTCTAAAATCATTATCGTGAAGTTTTTCATTTTCATTATTAAACAGTGTTTGCCAAGTTTGAATGATAAAATAAGAGAAGGACGAAACCCCGTAATGGTATAGGTTTTTAAAATTTTCTTATACACTGTATATTAATTTATTTATTACGGAAGCCGGTAGGTGCCAGGTAGAAAAATATTTTATCTGGCGGCCGCCAAATAATTATCTGGCGGCCGCCAGAAACTTATCTGGCGGCCGCCAGATAACTTATCTGGCGGCCGCCAGATAAAATATTTTTTCTACCTGGCACCAACCGGCTTCCGTTATTTATTGTGTTTTTTATTATTTATTTTTATCTAAAGTTGATTTATTATGTCTTTTATTAATTTTTTTATCTTAAGTTGAGAAAATTGCATGACAAATAATTTGTCATATAATAGTTCTCAGTTTCAATTTAAAAATTAATGAACATAAATTGTTTAATTATTTGGTAAAATTCAAATTCATTGAATTAAGTACGTCAAACAAAATTGACAGATGAAAGGTAGAGGCTCTTCACTGAGGAAATCTATACTCGGGTTACCCACTGGAGAACTCTATACTCGGGGTATCAGACTGAGGAACTCTATACCCGGGGTATCAGACAGAAACTCTATATTCGGGCTATCAGACTGAGGAACTCTATACTCGGGGTATCAGACAGAGAAACTCTATATTTGGTGTATCGGACTGAGAAACTCTATACTCGGGGTATCAGAATGAGGAACTCTATATTCGATATTAGACTGAGGAACTCTATACACGGGGTACCGACTGGAGAACTCTATACTCGGTGTATCAGACTGAGAAACTCTATACTCAGAGTATCAGACGGAGAAACTCTATACTTGATATCAGATTGATGAACTCTAGTCTCGGGGTATCAGAATTAGGAACTCTATACTCGGTATCAGACTAAAGAGCTCTAGACTCGACATTAGACTGATAGAGATTTAGGCCATTAGACAGAGGAATTAGGGGTATCAGACGGAGGAAATTTAGACTCGGGATAGCAGGCTCAGGAACTCAATACTTGGGTTATCTGACTCAGGGTATCAGATTCAGGAACTATAGACTGGGGGTATCAGACTCAGGAACTATAGACTTGGAGTATCAGACTCAGGAACTCTATATTCGGTAGCAGTATGAGGAACTCTTTACTCGGGGTTTCAGACTGAGGAACTCTAGACTCGGGGTATCAGACTCAGGAATATAGACTCGGGGTATTAGACTCAGGCGCTCTATACTGTGGGTATCAGACCCAGGAACTCTGTACTCGGTATCAGAATGAGAATCTTTATACTCGTGGACTGAGAAACTCTAGACTCGGGGTATCAGACTAACGAACTGTAGGTAGACTCGGAGTATTAGACTGATATACTCTATATTCGGTATCAGACTGAGAACTCTAAATTCGATATCAGACTCAGGAACTCTATACTGGGGTATATCAGACTGAGGAACTCTCAACTCGGGGTATCAGATTGAGGAATTCTATACACTATGTACTCGGTTTCAGACTAAGGAACTCTATACTCGGGGTATCAGACAGAGGAATTGTAGACTCAAGGTATCAGACTCAGGAACTCTATACTCGGGTTATCTGACTCAGGAACTTAAGATTCGGGGTATCAGACGGAGGAACTCTAGACTTGGTGTATCAGACTTAGGATCTATAGACTCGGGGTATCAGACTCAGGAACTCTAAAATCCGGGTATCAGGCTGAGGAACTGTATACACGGGGTCTCAAACTGAGTACATCTGTACTTGGGGTTGGGGTATCAGACTGAGGAACTCTAGACTCGGGGTATTGGATTGAGGAACTCTTTACTCGGGTATCAGACTGAGGAACTCTATAATCGGGGTATCAGACTGAGGAATTCTATACTCGGGGTATCAGACTGAAAAACTCGATACTTGAAATATCAGACAGAGGAACTTTATACTCGGGTATCAGACTGAGGAATTCTAGACTCCGGGATCAAACTCAGAAACTCAAGACTCCGGGTAACAGACTGAGGAACTTTAGACTTGGGTTCTCAGACTGAGGAAATCTATACTCGGGGTACATGTATCAGACTCAGGAACTAGACTCGGGGTATCAAACTCAGGAACTATAGACTTGGGGTATCAGACTCAGGAACTTTATACTCGGGGTATCAGACTGAGGAACTCTAGATTCGGTATCAGAATGTTAAGTCTGAGAAACCTCTACACTGAGTCTTGAGCAAAAAAAATATATATATATAGAGGAAAGAATATTAGAATATTTTCAAGGTTTTTATTAAGTTTGAGTATGCATTTTTAAAGAATAATTGACAATGCCTCGAATTTGTAAGTAGTTTGTGCATCATTAAAATTAAATATAAATTAAGAAAATCATTTAAGTCATATTGCTTTGATATATTTTCACAGATAATAAGCCTTGCTTTCACTGAATTTGACATAAAAGGGAAGACCACTGAGGTTAAAAATAATGTATACAACATGTACATAAAACATGAAGATATAAAGTCATCCAGCTATCCATACGGCAGAAATAGTTTTAGTTTATAGATTGTTTAAAAGATAAATTAATATAAGTACATGTAATTTCTAACCTTTTCAGTAATTTTATGTATTTCCAGGAAATACAATAGGAAATGCATCAAGTTCCTGATTCCACATACTTACTGTCCTCACAAAATAATACCTCCGCTGCAATCATTTTAGAGTGCCCATTTGTAATTTTGTAAATGAGACATAGGACTTGCCAAAATGCTTGATGGTTATATTAATTGAAGGAACCTTTGAATTTGAATTGATAACTAATATTTTTGCACCTTGTCTTTTTTCTAGATAAAAAAAAATTAAGCATAAATTTCAGGAACTCGAGTGCAAGTTAGGTGATTTGGATTTTTTCTATGAAAGAAAAAACTACAGATTATCAAATTTTTAAAAGCCACACAATCAGAAAAAATGGACAATCAAATCGTATATTAAAGACTAAAATTAGAATCCTGAATTTGATAAAGAAAAAAAATTCAAATGCAACTGAGCAAATGGATCATGCTTTTGAAGTGATCTGTTAGAACCCACTGATTCTGACATGATGCCTTTAAACGAACTGCTCATACAGTTTCAATATGATATCGATAGAAGAAAAAATTACTGATACATTATATATCTAGTATGATCAGTGACTGTTAATAACTCGAAGCAAAATCCCAATTCTGATATAATCCATTGAAGCCATAGAAACTAACAACTCACAACAAAATCTGATTCTGAAATGATCCATTTGAGCTCACAACAAACCGTTGATTCTGATATGATTCATTGAAACTAACAACTCGCAACAAACCATGATTCGGATATCACCCAATAAACCAACATATGTTCCTTTGAAACTATCAACTCGCAACAAAACAATAATTCTCATCTGATTAACGATGATGCGATGGCGCGGCAATGCGATGACGATGATGCGATGGCACGATGAAGCGATAGTGCGATGACGCGATTGTGCGATAGCGATAAAACGATGGTACAATGACGAGAAGCGATGTTCACTATCGCTTCATCGTGCTATCGCACCATCGTCATCGCATCATCGTGCCATTGCTTCATCGTCATTGCACCATCACATTATCGCGCCCTCGACCCCTTAGTAGATGCTCTATGGTGCGATAGTGAACTTCGTGTCCCTATCCAGATTCCACACATTATTTTTATAAATATGATTTTACAAAGGGATACTGAACCTTCAGAAAAGATGTTTACAAACTTGATATTACTTTTGTTGATTCTAATTGAATACATACACTGTACACTCAATTCAACAGCTTATTTGTCCTCTTTAAGCAAAACATGACAAACCTCCAATTATATAACCAAAGAGGAAGAAAAATAATACTTATAAGTGTTGATATATATCCGTTTGAAACATCACTCAAGCACTAGACAGTAATCCAGAAACATATTTTGCATAATGTTATACCATTGCTGTAGTCAGAATTTTAAGTGAACTTCCGGTTGATTGCAATCTTTCTTCTCAGTGGTCAATTGCTTGAGAGAAACAAGGGTCAGGTGGGTTGCAAGTACACTGAGAAGCAGATATCAATTGTCTTCAAAGAGCTTATACAACAAAGTTAACACGCATATGAGAAGCGTACATGTATATACAGAAGTAATAACCAAACTTAACAATCAGGATGTTAATACATTATTTTGTCAACAAGTTCTGAGAAATAGATCATATGAAATAGTTCTGTAGAATCGCGAGTTTGTGAGTTTGCTGTAATATTTGCTACAATTTCAATGTGATTTTTTTTTTCGTTTTCAGGTTTTGAGCAGAAAACTGAGATTTAACAACTTCCTGGTTAAGAGCTACCCGTGCATGTGTACTGGTTAGCAGGTAGGTATACATGCACTGCCTTGGTCAAGGATTTACTTTATTTTTATGTAGATTTTGTTATATTGTATAAACTTATAGTTTACATGTAACATGGGAGAGAGATATTCAGCACCTCTTATAAAAGGAATACTGGTAAGTCCTATATTCCGTGCCTATTCTTCTACTCTGTGATATCAACATATAACAAAGACAACTGTGCCATAAGTACCGGTATGCGAGATTGTAAGTAAAAATTTGTTTTTAGTGTAATTGTATTCGCCGATATATTGCAGACATTTGAAACCTATTCAAAAAGCTAGATCTTCGTTGCATGAAAAAAAAACCAACCCCATGGTATTTTAAACAACTATTTTTTACCTGCGAGCCGAAAATTACACCTGGTTAAATATGATGACCTTGACTCCATGCACCCATTGTAGAACTGTCAAAATGTTAAGCTAGTAAATCAATTAAACATTACTACTCCCAAAGCTGTGATGAACCTTTTATACACTTTCGATTTTTTTTTTTTTTACAAAAGCCAATATGAGATCAACTGTATCATTAATATTATATTATCAATTATGATGTCTTATATAAGGAGAAAAACGGTGGCGGATTTAAGGGGGGGGGGGGCATCCGGCGCCCCCCAAAATTGTCAAATTCAAGATAAATCATTGTTCATTTATCGGACAAAAGGGTGTAAATTGAAAAAAAACTTTATTTCTATCCTTGCAATGCAGGTCGGGGGGGGGGGGGGGTATTTTACAAATCTTACAATATTAATTATGGCAATAAGAAATAGTAGAAGACTAAATTTTGTCCAACAAATTCTCTAGAAAAAAAGACGCTTCCGGGGGCTTGTGACATCTTATTTGATATCTGAGATTTTAAATAATTTATCATTAGAACCTGCTATAAGGAAATATACGTGTAATCTTTATAGGAAGAGATCATTACCGTGATTATTATTAAAAGGTAGATACAAGGTATCAATTTCGCTATTGCACACTGTCTGCCAAGTTTAAATTTTAAAAAGAAATGAAATTTGAGACTTAAGTATAACGTTGTGTCAAAAAGCCTCATGATCAAACCAAGGGGATTTACATTTGTATTCCTGGTTAAAAAATAAAATATTGACGGTAATTTTTTTTAAAGTTTGGTTAACTTCAAATTTAGTAAATAAAAGTACAAATAGGTAAGATAATAATTGAGAGAGAGAGAGAGCATTGACATGTTAGCTACTTTAGCTGTGTAGTGGGTGATAAATTCTGATTATCATTTTCAAAATTCAATTTGAGATTGACTTTTAAACTTAAAAACTGGTAAATGAAACAATATTTAATATCATATTTAAAAAAGCATCTGCATTTCTTATATAAAGTTTAATCAGAATGAAATACATATTGCTATAGGAGTTGAGACTTTGACTTTTGTCTTGACTTTGATAACTAAGAAGCTTACCTTTATTAGATTGTGTTTTTAGGATTATCTTGAAAAATTTGCTTTCTGTCATCGTACCTGACCTTGACCCTGGCTATTGGCTCGTTATTGAAAAATCATTAAACGTTTATTTTTTATTGGATTACATGCATGTATTTTGATGGTTTTGAGCCAATTTTTTTTTTAGAAATATTTCTAATAGTTTCAAAAGTAAAAATAAGAAATAAGTTCCTTGAGTGTTTGGGGTTAAATATACAATGAAGCATATATATTGTAATTTATGCATAAACAAATTCGCCGCGTTATTGCGAATTACCATGTGAAAACCTCAGAAAGCATGATATTTCATAAATCATTGAACTTCAAGCATAGTTGAATTAGTATATTTTGATAACCGTTATCTGAGTTGGCATTGATCTTGACTTTTTTAATTTCAAAATTTTTTGTTGTGGCTGATATCATAACTATTATCCGAAAGTTTTGATTGAAAAAAATATACTTTGGATACCGTGTCGTACGTTTTCTTTTAATTTTGACTCTTTGCAGGAACATGACCTTATTGGTAAATGATTTGCTGGAACATAACTTTAACTTTGAATTGGTAAATGATTCGCAGGAACATGCTTCTGTTCTATTTAGGACTGATCAACACAATAAAAATTTCAATTTATCAAATATTATTTACATATACTGAATATTTCCTCCTTAGTTTTTTTTATTTTACTCTTTTGGAAACCTGTCTCTGTTGATCATAAACACTAGTTAGAAATACGGTTTTCGCCCACATTTTATGTATAATTTATCCACATTCATACAGACAAAAATATAAACCATAAAACGTTTGTTGATACAGAAGCAAATGGTAACAATCATTGCTAAGCATTCATATAAACCGCTCACACCGGTTATCGGGTATTTTTTTCTGCAATGTTAAACCGTTCATTCCCGTATAAACGTTGTTTAATTTAAAATAAATAGTAGTACCCCATCCCACTCCATCCACCCACCTCTAAGGGTCTTCAATGTTTTCTAATTTAATTTTTAAAAATGAATGTTTGCTGTTATCTTCTGTTGATTTAGAATTTCTTTAAAAAATGTTTTGATTGAATGCTTAGTATGAATATACTGTCGGAAACAAATGCTAAAATTACACTTAAATGAGATATCTTTGGATTTTTTTTTCTTCAGGTAATTTAGATATGAATCAGTGAAATGGACCGCCCTGTCCAGAGGACTCCATTAAAATCAATAGGTAAGAAAGTGACCTTTTTTTTATCCAAGTGTTTTGATTAAATAAATATAATGCCCTCTACCAAATTTAGAATTTTCTCAAATCAAACTTGAATTTGTATATACACATGTATTTCATATACAAATTTAAATTAAACTTCATAAAACAATCTTCATGAGGTACACATTAATCTTTGTTCAGCTACATAGGGATTTCATGGTGTTACATAAAAACGGGTCAAAAATGAAACAAGCCATTCTGAGAGTGCTGTGTAAGCATCACTAGTCCCGTGCAGGCAAGTTCCCCTTGAAAATTAAAAAGGCTGTAATTCTGTAAAAAAAAAAAAAATCACTAAGGGAACAAAATGCAAACTTGATCAATAACTCATCAAGGCACATGTACACTCACACACCAAAGCTCAGCCCAATATCTACAAACGTTTAGAAAAAAAAAGTGCGGAACAACCAAGAGGGAAATCTGCATGGTTCCCCAAAAAAAATTTTAAAAGTCGTAATTCCTTCAAAAATCATTGAGGCGGAACGAAATGCAAACTTGCAAAGTTTATTTGAAATTGAATGAATAACATTAGAAGGCGTAGGGTCCAAAAGAATTTCACGGAAAGTCCTATTTTTGTAACCATAACAATAGGGTTCATCGAAATAAAAATCCTCCTCAAAACATCAGAGGTCCTGAGTTTACGAGTCGACTCAGGTTCCCCGACAAGCGAGGATATGAATAAAATACTATTATGCAGAATATATACAATTTATCTAGATGTTATCTACTTTTACCAAAATTGATTTATTTACAATCTATCAGAGAAAAACTATAAGAAGATTGTCATTGCATTAGTTCTTCTAGTCTTCACAATTAGAGTTCTTGTTTTTTTCATACTCCTAATTCACACAGCTAAGATATTTTCCAACAGGTGCTCAGGATATTCTAAAACTAGACTTTGACAAATGTGGACACCTCAGAAAAGAGGGAGGACTGGAGAGGACCCTGCTCAGCAAGTTTGTTAAATGTAAGCCTAAGGTGTCAGAGTTTAATTCTTCTTTCTCTCTCATATCCAACAAATTAGACAGCGATACCTTTAATAAATGCATTAACAGTCTTTTTGATAGAGGCTGTTATATCATCAAAACTTTTTTTTAAAGTCATTGATTGATCCACGTAAATATTATGTTAGATTTATAACTGTTCACATAGAAAGTTTTTTTTTTCAAAAGATAGAAAGAAGAATAAATTTTGTGGTAAGGTGTTAAAGCCGAAAGACAAATCAGAAAAAAAAATTATCCACATTTGCATCTTATTTATAGTTTTAATTTAACAAAAACCAGTATTATTTTTTTTTTATTAAAGGGAGACAATTCTTTGTCGTCTTAAGAAATGGGTGTTGTTATGTTTTCGATAATGACCAGTCTACCCAATCAAAAACTGCCTTCTCTTTCGAAAACTATTGCAGGTAAGTGTACCCCAGCAATCAAAACCCAGGTTTTCATGATTTGAATATCTTACTTTGCCTTTGTAATTTTTTTCTTCATTTTTTTTGTCAAAATTAAAGCTAGATTTCAAAGTAATCATCCTACGATACCCATTCCTCCAATTGTTTTGTAGATCGATAGATTATCATTATAAGTAAATATTTGTCTTCAAATATCTTTCATCGGATTATATATTTGAGATGTTTCCTAAGAACGAAATCCAACACGAAATCAAAGAAAATTGAGTAAAAAAAGATTTGTATCCCCCCTTCCGAATTTTATAAAGAATAATTTGATGAATAGACTTGCAGCAATTTATTTTAATACAGTTACTTTTGATATTTAGATTAGAATGCTATACTAGACCAGATATGGACAATTGTTTTAAAGTTATTCCAAGGCCTGGTCATGAGGATCTCCTAAAGGAGCACTGCTTTTCTTCCTCCGACAACCACACACGACAGGCGAGTCAGTCTTAATTAACTTATCTTTTTCACATATAATAATAATCAGCATCAATATTATGTTGAATTGAATTTCGTTATTTGCAAATGTGTTATAGAAGATAAGCAGTGGCAGCCAAACAGTGTGCTGGTCGGATCTTTAAATTTGTTCCTTAGTGCATTTGCCAAATTCATTTGGCTTGAAAACGACATATGTACATGTATATATGAAAAACATAATCAATTGCTTTAATTTAATGATCTCAACCTCTTTGTACTGCTTACGTTAACATTTCCATGCATGCTAGATGAAAATTGTCTCCTAGCAGTGCAGTTATGCTGAAAATCTCTTGGAAATGCATCCCATCTTAAAATGTTTTTGAACGAATGTCATAATTATACTTATACAGTTGTTGGAAACCCCTTATTATGTCGACAAATATTTTTTTTGTTCTACTGGTAAGAGACCAGAAGAACATATGTATTATATAGGTGTCTGTCTTCCGTCAGTCTTTCTGTAAACATTTTTTTTCATAATGCTTCTCCTCCTACAGTTTTGGTCCAGTTTCATTAAGGCTTGGTATAGACAAGTAGCCTATACTAAGATACATAAGTCAGTATATCGGTTTTTAATTTCAGTGAACACTGTTGCCATGGTCACCAAAAATAGAAATTTCCTTGAAATTCTTTCAAAAATATACTTTCAAAACTCTGCAAAACTTCTACAAGTTTGGTCTGATTTGAATAAGACTTAATACACAGACTGACTCTACTAAGATACATAATTCTATATATATCGGTTTTTGATTTCGCTAAAACGTGTTGCCATGGTTACTAAAAATATAGATTTCTGTGAAAGTCTTTCAAAACGTCTTTTCTCCTTCAGTTTTGGTCTGATTTCAATAAAACTTGATACACAAGAAAACTATATTAAGATATATAATTAAATTTTTGATTTCCACAGTTTTTGTGGCCATTCTGTCGGTTTTTGATTTAGATATACAAAGTGGCAATGTTTACTAAAACAAGATGATATTAGAATTCTTCAAAATGTTACTCGTTTTTTTGTTTTTGTTCTGCGTTTAATAAAGCCTGATACACAAATAAACTGAATCAAGGATCATAATTCTTATTTATTAGTGTTATCAAAGCTTCTAATTTTCATGTCCAAACGCCGTTTTCCCCCTTTCCTTATTATGACTACACACCCAGTAGAGCTACAGTCTTGTGCGAGATTTCTGGTTTTGCCCTTCAAGTTACTATCGTTCCTCTCGCATAGCAGTATTTTTAAATTATAAAAAAAAAATAACCTGTTAACAAGCCTTTTATTTTGTTAACTATTGATCCCAAGATTCGCCGATCCAATTTTGTACTTCAAATGTCTATAACTGTAATTCTTTGTCCATACTAGGAGTTTTGAGAATCAGGCTCAGCAACTCACTAGAAATCTTTGTGCGATGTCAAACTGTTTATGCCATATAATTGTTGTAAAGATTCCTGCTTTTTTGCTTTGAGTCATTGTTCTCAAATCTGATATGCGGAGGTACTCTATTTATGCAGGAGTGGCTTGTAGCTATATACAGGGCCTTACATGTTGCGAACAACTTGACAGTACCAACTGCAATGTAAGTGACTGTCATGGAGTATTTATTTTATAAAACACAGAAATATATGTACACTTTATGTACTTTTGTAATTTACCCTACAATCAAAGTTACTATTTCACAATTAGAACGAAAGATGGTTGGAAGGAGGATATTTTCGCGAAAGGAACTGATCCTAATCGCTACAGTTACATAGATGAGATGCCAGAAGACCCCCCAAAAGACCCCCCGAAACCCGCGGGAAAGCGTTACTCTAAGTTACCTAGTCCACGTAAAATCTTTTTGACATAATACTCAATAGCATATACATATACTTTTTTATACCCTTAAGAGCTATGTACGTTAGTTACGGAAAATGACCTTCTTTTCAGCTGTACCATCACTGACTAGAGCCAAAAGTTTGCCAGCTCGTAATGTGTCACAAAGGAGTAATTCAAACGACACAAGCAATGATTCTGACGACTCGCCATCCGACAACTATGACGATATTCTAACGGAGCCACCGCCCACTAAGCCTGAGCCACTGACCGCTAAGCCTTGTAAAATATCTAGATCTGTCTCCGAGTCTTATAAGTCTAGACCCCAACCACCTGTTCCCGTGGATGAAAGAGGCACAGTGTCGCTCCCGGATTCGTATACCAATCTTAAAGAGGGGGTAAATATATCCCTTTCATTTATCATTTTATATCATAATTAAATCATAATATGTTCCTTATGTCGAATTCTCAATTTTCCAGGTGGCTGATTTGCCACTCTTTGAAGGAAATGCTTCAGACGCAAAAAGGTAAGACAGAGAGAGAAAGAGAGAGAGAGAGAGATGTTTAAAATTAATATTTTAATAATCTTAAACTTGTTTTAGTGTAATAAAAGATGAAGCTGTTGGAACATTTCTAATTCGGAAGTCTAGCACTGGAGGCGACAAAATCATGTTTGTAAGTATAATGTAATAAATCTAAAAGTGATTGACAACAAACTGGACTTAATTTTGGTACAGTTTTTTAAGCCTTTGATTTAGTTCACACAGCTATTTACACGTATTTTTAATACTAGTACCCGGTATAAACTTAAAGCCTTCATGGAATTCTTTCCATTGACCTTGTTTTCACCTTCTTGATCATTAAGGTTCACAAACCATCTGTTTACTCATATAAAATGTTTCTTTAATGCTTATAATTTTCCAAAAGAAATGTTTTTAATATATTTTTAGCAAAGCTTGCGAGGCAAAATTTGTCAAACATGACATTTCAACTTGACAAATTTATAAAGGAATAATAGACATTTATTCCATTAGGAATTTTATCAGAGTATCAACGAACCTTAAGCCAAAGAACATAGCACTTAACATGGTACAAGTTAAATCTTATTTTGGGCAGATCAGTTTATGAGTCTAACTGTCTTTGGCCAACATATCAGTATGCTAAATTGTCTCGAAAATGTCAAAGATTGGGGTTATTAGTCTGTATGAACTGTTGATTAGCTGAGAAGTGTCTGATTTTCAAAGTTAAATACCCAACATGCTTGAAATACATGCATTTTTCTTGTAGGTATTGGTTTTTTCAGCACCTTCTGGGGAACTGCAGTACAGGATATACAAAAAGGTATGGGTCACTTCAAATTACTGTGACAATTTTTATCTCCTCGCAACAAAGTTTCGATGGATAAAATAGTCATTGTAGACCCTGTGATAATGTCACTCATAATGGGCAGTTAGATAACGTGTTATATATGATGACTTTGCATCAGAGCATGTTAATCAATATGCATTATAATATGTTTGTTTCTGTTTATGTGGGAGTACTAATCATCCAAGTGTCTTCCAAACGTATGCCAGCTTCCTGGATATTAAAAGGAAGAATGTTGGAATTATAAGCCAAGTTGGCCAAATACGGAAAGCTAAGGCCAATTTAAAACCAATTTTCTCATGCACAGTTTATAGAAAATTTATTTCGAATGCAGCAGTAAACTGGATTTTGATTACTTTAACGTACGGAGTTGGCCAGACTTCCAGGATGTTTATATTATTCAAGAAAATGATAGACGCGACCACTGTACTACTGTCTTAGAGCAAATTAAATTTTAAACTGATAACTACGACAGTCAATATTTTCATTTTTTTACTGATATCTTTAAATTGCATGTACATATTTCAGTGTTACAAGTAAAATACATCTGAGGCATTTTCCGTTTCATACGTTAACTCGAATCTTTCTTTTTCACTTTTAATCACAAAAAACCATGTTTCATTTTAGGAAGAAGAAAAAATCTATCTTACAGAGGGAGTATATTTTAAACGACTTTCAGAGCTTGTGGACTATTATAGAAAAAATGATCTCCCATGTAAACGCAAACTGACAAAGCATTACGGACACATGGATTTATGAACTACATCGTTAGTTTCTTATAAAGCCCACAGAGGGACTTGAAATATCTAAATCGATGATTTAGTTGAGTATTTTTAATCTCAAAAATACATGCAACATGTAAATAGTAATATTAAATAATAGACAAAATAACACTGGAACGAGGATCGACATACTTGTATGAATTTTCCCATGAAATCATTCGAAACTTCACCTGTTCTGAGTAATAATTGACCTGATTCATAGTACGTGTGTCTGTCTGAAAACATTTTTTTTTAAATTCCAGTAAATCTTTAGTTTTGTCGTGTTTCAACTCTCTGCTTTAGAAAAAAAAAATATTATCTATATAATATAATGCTTCTCTCTTTTCCTCATCAAGAAACTCAGTAATTACGGGAGCGGAAATTCTGCCTTGAACTTATTAGAAAAAAAAATTACTAATACTTTATGCATTCCGAGTTAGGACTACGTTTATCGTTGATTTTTATATAGACCCATATATTACTTATGTGTTATTTCTTTATGATTCATATTGTTATTAAAATAAGTATTGGTACTTATGTCTTATTTATTTGTATCTATATTTGTGCTTAAAGAGTAAGAAAAAATGTCAATAATATTTTTTACACTTTTTTCTTGACATTCCCTTGATAGTACTGTACTGATAATAGAGACTTTATTTTTAGAATCTGCAAATTTGAATATATATGTTACATACACGTATTTACTGAATTTTTCAATACTTTTTACGCGTATTTACTGACTGTGCTTTGGTGAGATAATTTAAAATATGAATCATAAAATATGAACAGATGCATAGTACATTCAATGTTTATATCAGTTAGCATATCATATGTGAATGAGTAATATTTGAAATAAGCCTTTATTTATTTATAAATTTAAAAAAAAAATCATTATTTGTGAATATTAACCCAAAAAACATACACTGCTTTCATTTTCTGGAATGTGTTGTCTATATCACAACATACTTTAACTAAGTTATTTATATACTTTTATTTAAAAAACTAAAAGCGCTTACTGGCATTTCTTATTTAATTAGATATTCATACAATGCTACTTTGCATTTATTGACAGTAAATTTAAAACCCTGAAGCATCTTATTTGCAAATAAAAAAAAATCTTATGCTGTCTCTTGAAAAATGCAAAAAAAAAAAAAAAAAAAAAAAAAAAAAAGATAAATAAAAAAAAAAATGAAATAAAAAATCTTGTAAAATACATATAATGTAACGAAATTAAACCCTCAAAATTTTAATGGTTCAAAATAGAAAAAACATTTATTTTAACTTAATAAGTTTGAATTAACTAACAATTGCAAAACATATCTATGTTACCATAATTTTAAAGATGTAAGACTCGAATAAACAGAAGTACCACATATATCACTTCGTTCGTCTGAATATAAATTAATTAAGTGCTAAATAATCAACAAAGGCATATGTCATAAACAGGACGCTGCTCGCTAGCTCTTAGACTATCAAAGAGAGTAATAGATAAATCATACCAAACATCCAAAAAACAAAACAAAAACAAATTATATGCTAAGATTTTTTGTAACTTTCAATTGATTTACAACTGAATCTTTAATATAAGTGTCTCTAGATAAATCTGACCTCCACCTACCATGTATCTTCAGTAACCTTTCATTGACGTCCTTAAAAGGAATTTTAGAGAGACAATACACTGAGTCTTCCCCAGAATTCAAAATTAATGTATAACGTCAGCTTTGTAGGAAAAATTCTTATTAAATGCTGCTTTAAAAACATGCATACTAGTAGTTGTATACTTACTGAATGTTTTGAAGGATATGTATAGTCATCCAGCTTAGTTCAGTAAAAACGTGTAAAACAGGCTAAAATTTTCAGTAAATACATGAATTTCCTAGCTATTCAGTAATTACATGTATTTCCTAAAACGGCTAGTAAATACATGTATTTACTATATGGTTTAGGAAATACATGAAATTCCTGATTTCACATATTTACTGTAACATATACATGACGTAAATTTCTTTATCATCTAATAAGAAATCTCTATATATTGATTGATATTCACATGGTTATCCGTCTGTCCATTTATCAAATCGTCTGTCAAAAAAAAACCGTGTCTGGGCTGTAACTCCGGAATCTTGATTTAAATATATATTCATGCAGAATTTTGTTGCTCCTATCATGGTCTTGATCAGGTTCATTTATTTAAGGACATACGCAATGTACCTTACCTACTGATAAATTTTCAAGATATTCTTAATTTAAGATTATAGTGCCATCAGATGTTCGCAGACAAAAAATCAGCATGCCTTACCAGGGGTTTTGAAAAGATATCAATTGATGAAAATTCTTGTATAATTCAAAGAAAAATATACAAAAATTACTAAACATATATTCTAGATGTTTTGTTCATCCAAACTTGTTTTAGAAGAAGTGTACAACACCATATATAGACGTTAAAATGTTACACACAGTTCCTTTAAGTATTGGAACTCTTCAACTCCAGGGAAAAAGACAATAAAGTTCAAACTACGTTGCGTATGTCCTTAAGGGGATTAACATTGAGCGATGAGATAATTAAAGTTGTGTTTGGAACAAAAACTATCGAATCCTTAATTGAAATGAATTCTAAAAAAAAATTAATAACTAATATTCCCTAAAAATTTAAAAAAAAAAATATAGAGGTAATTTTTTTTGATTAGCTATCATCTGTATACTTGAATTACATATTTATCTCGGTTTGGTAGTATCATCTGATAGACCATCTTAAAATCATCTTTTTATGCATCTTAATGTCAAGGAAAAGATAATGACCTTAACCCGACCTTGCTCCTTAAATAAAATGGTCAAATTTAATCCAGTTGATACCATCACTTAGTGCTATTGTCTTGTTGAATCTGTGAAAATTTCATATATATTTAGATATAAAAAATATGAGAAGAATCCCTCCCTAAGGAGCAGGCTTTTTAACATCACACGCAACTGCTTCCTCAATAGAAATAGAAAGCGTAAATTTTCATATCTTGTGATTGGTCATCTACAAAATTACTTCATCAAAACTCATTCTGATATGCATACAAGTACTCTATAATTAATATTAAAAGGATACTGGAGTTCCTCATTGACGATATCTATGAAATCTTTGGAGACCAGGCCCCAAGACCATAAACTGAGAACAGACTTAAGTCAAAATTTTAAATCAATACAACTTTTGAAATAATTTTGAAAATGAAATAAAATTTTCATCATATATTTGAATTTAAATATACAAACCTGCAAATTTTTAAGCAAATGTTTTATACAAAACTCAAGATATTCAAAATCAAAATTTTGACTTAAATCTGTTCTCAGTTTATAATCTTGAGGCCAGGTCTTCCAACAATCTTGGAATTTCGATAGACACTAATTGTGTTTCTTCATAGCCGACCTATTTTTATAATCCTTTGAAGCATAATTTAATCAAAAACTTGAGGATGTTTATCATTTCTTTTTTGCCTGTGGAAATTACCCAAACGCTAGGAATAATTTTTTAACCGCCTATTTTTACTTGACGAATTGGTCACTATTGACACAAATTTGTTATTATGGGGTGATGTAAATTTGCCTTTACAAACTAATACAAATTTTTTTGCTGCTGTGTATAAATTTATTGATGAAACCTGTAGATTTTAAATCTGCTATGCTATTGAACAGATATTTCACTTGTATCACTTTCTAAATTTATATTTCTGTGTACTATTTCAATTGCATGACATATATTTAAGGAGAGGAACTAGTAAGTTGTAAGAACTTGTTTCCAATCCTTTTGATTTATTCAATAAAATATGTTCAAAACAAAAACTTCTACACGAGAAGAAAAAAAAACCTCTTGCTGTGGCCTTCAACTCAACATTTGAATATATCGACGATGCATGTTTTATCAATTAACAACAGTTTCTGCCATGGTCATTTTATACATTCCAGTGAAGTTGAAATTAAAGACACTACACAGTCTGCCACAATTGTTTTATATTTGGATGTTTTACTGACTCTGGACAATAATGGTCAACTTATAACGTAACTATATGACAAACGGGATGACTTCACCTTTTCCATCGTCAATTTCCTTTATTTATGGTGTTCAGGTCTCCCAACTGATTCGATATGCAAGAACATCCCTGAGTACGATCAATTTTTAAACTGAGGCAAGCTACTGACAAGGATTTCAACAATCCAGTTTAAAGTTAGTCTTTGCAAATTCTACGGTCTCTATAATGACCTTGTTTGTATAAAATACAAACTGTCGTCGTATCTTCTGTTTTCCTATAATTTGCCATGTCATTGCTTTTATACTGAATTTGACTAGGGAGTACTCTACCTGATCAAAACATAGAGCTCACGGCAGGTGTGACTGGTCGACAGGGGATGCTTACTCCTCCTGGGCACCTGATCCCACCTTTGATGTTTCCAAGGGTCCAGTTTTTTTTTTTGTTTTGTTTTGCTCTGTTTACGATTTGCTTTGTTCAATAGATTTATGAGATCGTAAACAGCACCGTATTCTTGCGGAATTTTCTCACCATTTATATTGATTTATATAATTTATGTAGCATTTAGTGTTTGAATCGATTGAATTTGTTTAACGTAGCTTCATGTATTACGAAATAAACCAAAGAAAAAAGATAAACATACCAGTTTTCATAAAGTTTTTATAGATTATGTGGCCCAAGTATACTATACGTTTAAGTAGTTCCTAGGAACAGGGCGCATTTATATATTTAACATTGATTTATTTGCAATTCTAAAATTATTTTAATATTAATGCTGTTAAAATAAAATCATAAATTAATAAGACAAAGAGTTAAACGGTATAATGTTGGACAAATTGATATGTAAGAGGAATAAATAAGTAATTGAGTTAAAAATTAGGTATCCATGTTGAAGGGTTAGCATGTCGATAATTCGACATGCGAGCTAATTAACAGATATACAGGTCGACAGGTCAGCAAGTAAATAACGTATCAAGTGTTATTGTTGTCAGACCAAAAAGTAAGCAAATTAACGTCTTCACAGATCAACAGAATAGCAGGTAAACAATTTGACAAGATGACATATCAGCAGGTCGACATATCAGCAAGTTCATAGGTCAACAGGTAAGCAAATTAAGGGTAAACAGATCAAGTCAGCATGTAATCAAATTAACATGTGGACAGGTCAGCAGGTCGACAGGTAGGCGACAATTCAGCAGGTCGACGGGTAAGCAGATTAACAAGTCGACAGTTCAGCAGGTCGACAGGGGGCAAACCAAGAGGTCGACAGGTAAGCAGATTAACAAGTCGACAGTTCAGCAGGTCGACAGGTGGGCAAACCAACAGGTCGACAGTTCAGCAGGTCGACAGGTAAGCACATTAACAGGTGTATAGATCGACAGGAGCTAGGAACAAGTTAGACCATCAATTTGAATTGAGTTTCTGTGGTGAATATTAAGTTACTGATATGTATACCTGTTGACTTGCTGATCTGTTACCAGTTCACTTGCTGATCTGTTTTACCATATTCATCACATATTTCAAAACTTAATGCATATGTATGTGATGTAATAAATATAGACATTGATTCAATAAATATTCATGATTTTAATATGATAAATATGAGGATTGTTTACTCATTCTGTTAAAAATAACAAAAAAAGTTGTTTAACCGGACTTCAAAGCTGCGACACCTTTTGTGTACTTTAAGTTTTCCACCCGGATCTGCAACACATTAACCTTTGAAAGTGAAAGCATTAATTCTCCACAGGTGTTATGTAAGGGAGAACAACTTTTAGATTTACAATACTTACCCACTAACATCCATCCTACATGATTTTAGAGGGATCGTTAGCTAATTATTATAGATAAAATCTTTATAAATGTACACGCACCAAATACCCTTGTGTCCACTGATGCAAATTAAATGAGAACACATCATAAAAAACTCTATGGGGACATCACACTATTAATTCCTGTCTATTCTACACAAAATAATAATGTTTTTGTACAAAATTTTTCAGTTGAGACTAATCATTGTGTTTTCCCTCCATTCGGCTCCTACTGTACTTTCCATTTTATGTTAAATTGATAATGTTGGAACATTACTGTAACAGTGAAAAATAACATAGGTCAATAAATGAGGTCCTACACAAAAAATACTTGCAAATGTGAGCCATCTCAATAGAATATCCAGATATCAAAATACGCGTGTAAACTATAAAACTAAATGCCACTTTTGTTGCTTTAAAAAAATCAAGATTTTCGAAAGAGCCAAAGAGAGCACAAAATTTGAATTCTGATTTTTTATCACGAATATACTAGTATATTACACCAATAAATCTGAGTGTCAGACTTCAGCGAGAGGCCATCATTATACCTACACGTTATGTAATGCGGTTTCACACTATTTCATGTAGACAAGTTTGAATGGTAAGCTTATACTACTATAGCGGAAATCTATATTTTATGTTTTTACATTGGCTTTACATCAGTTAAATTGTATTGACAAGGCTTGTCCAGCACATCTATGTTAACTGTCAACATTTTCAACATTTGATAAAGCAAAATTAGATTAACACAGTTATCAAAGTCTTTGTGTAAAGGATAAAGAAAACGAACAGCGACCAAACTCACAAATTCAGCAAAGAATACAAAGCATAAACGGGGCAAAAATCGTGGACTCCTGGAAATACAGATATTGGATCAGGTGTCTAGGTGAAGTAAACACCCCCTGTTGACCGTCAGCCCTCTGTATTCATGAGGTAAAGGGAGTAATCTCTAGTCTACATGATAATATGAAAACAATGTCCTAACAATTGTTGGGAAGCATATCAATCAAAATACGACCCAGCGATAGAATGTATTTTACAACCAATGTCATTATAACGATCATAAAATTTATGAAATGCTGACTTGAAACGAGATAGTTGAAAATTATGCAGCTTTAACTTATTTATCAGTAGCCTGTCTAAAATGATTGTACTCAGAGCATGAGAAATGAATTAGTTGGGAGACATAAACACCATATGCAGATGATTGTGAATTATATTAATACATAAATAGTGAAAGGTGACGATATAAAAGCTGAAGTCATCCCGTTTGTCATATAGTTTCTAAGTTGTTAGTTGACCATTAACGTCTATAATCAGTAAAATATCTAAGAATGAAGCAGATGTGTCATACTCTGGTATCTTTTATTTCAATGAATGAATGAAAATAACTAACATCTAAACTTTAATTGTAAATTTACAAAAGTCGTCTATATATGGCAATGTTGAACTGATACTCCACCAAGTGTCTTCTTATACGTTTCATAAAAATAATGAACTTTTAGTTTAGGTAACTCCTTAACATCTGAATCGAAGATACAAGACCTTTTGTATTTATTGTGACATATATTCTGCATCTTAAAAAATAGTCTCTTTTAAAGATGTATGCTTTAACGGGGACCTTCATGCCATTTACAATTTTAAATATTTAAAAACAATTACTAACAGGTGAAAACTCTTTAATTTATTATTTATACATGTATTTTACTCATCTGTATTTTTAAAAGTCGGAACCTACAACGTAGAATACTGACAATTGCCGTAAAGAAAGTCTGAAATCCCTTTTGGAGAATTGTTAGATTACTCATAACAAAATGATAAATAGTTATTTCTAATGATTCATTTTAGCTTTGAGGGTGGGGGAAACATATTTCTAATTCTATTACAGTCTTACTATCCGTCGATTTTTCTTGCAGGCAAATTGCTTTAACGATGCTTAAAAGCAGACGACACAAGCGTTCCTTGGAACACTAGTCGAAAGAAAAAATGAAAAGATGACAATTATTATTTTTCTGTTAGGACCATTATCCACGAATTTACTTATCCTCGAAACTGTGATTTACTAAATACACGAAAATTGATGCCAACGAATATTGATGAAACCACAGCATAGATCCCGATTTATTTATTTTTTTTTTAATTCAAATTTTGTGGTAACTGTAAATCATACCACAGGAGTTCGCAACTTTATCAATAAAGTCAATATAAAAATCACTCGATTGACCAAGCCATGAGCTATGCGTTAGCATAGCGAACAGTTCTCTATGCTAATACATAGCTCATGGCTTGGTGAATCGAGTGATTTCTATTGACTTTATCGATAAAATTGCGAACTCCTGTGATCATACAGCTTCAAAGTACAGTGTCATAAGCTCATAAACATGTGATATAAATGCTAATTATTAAAAACCTGTCTCTAAAAATGCAAAACACGTATGTTACCGTATATAGTATTTTTGCGAAGTAGGCAGAGGTCAAGTGATCTGTAACGCTGTTATTTTTTATAATATTTTATGACAAACTGTGAACATGCCAAATAGCATAAACTTACCTCTAAAATGTCAAAAATATGCTGTATATCAGCACTATGAACTATTTTGAAAAGTAGGTGAAAGGTTAAGGGTCACGAGGGTACAAAAGTCATTTTAGCAATATATGTCCATCAAATCATACCTCTTAGAGTTCTAGAGATACAAGGTGTGACAGACAGACAAACAGACAGACGCCGAGTAAAGCGATCCCTAAGTGTCGGTCTGCTCTGCAGGCGACAAAAAATGTCATTAAAATTCTCTTTAAAAGCTTTTTATTATTACTATTTGGTTCGTTTGATCTTTTAACACGTGGGCTGGATCCGAATAGTTCAGTTGATGACATAACCTTATCCTGGTGACATCCCAAAAGATACGAATAAGTAGATTCAAAGTAACATGAGAGGAAATATAATCTATCGTGGCCCTTTATAATACCTGTTTAAAGCAGATTTATTTTACAAAAACTTGGAAGTGTTCATATTATTGGCATAAGCACAGTAGGGATTGTTATTCAATACTCAGTACTCGAGTACGAGCTTAAAATGTTTCTCAATTACAAGACATGGTAATGATAGGAATTTTACATTTTTGTGACCTTGAACTTGAGAGCTTTAATATCTTACAATGATCTTGTCCGTCCATCTGTCTTTGTGTTGGACATTTGTGAAATAGCGTACAGCGCACAGCTATCGTCTTAGGGCCCTGACTTTGTAAGGGAGAAATTGGAAGCTCATACTTGACACATAGGATCGGAGGTTTTAAAATTGCAATGTTTAGGCCTAGCTTTGGCTAAGATTTTGAAAATATGTAAACTTATGGACCATCATAAAAAACATCAGAGGGTTCAATTTAATTAGCTCTCACTGATAAAACTGAGAAAAAAAGTTTTTCGTTATGTTTTTTCGAACATAGAAATCTCGAATACCATGGATTGTCGAAGTGAGTTTGAAGTTCTATCCACATTTTCTTTATTTATTTCCCCTTAATGTCTCGAACCCTCGCAGATATCGAAGCCATCGAGTTCAAGATAACGAGGTTTGTCTATATACTGTCTCAAATTAATTCTTTCATTTGATGGTCGATCACTTGTAAAGTTGCAAATGATGGTGTTAATCGTTATCTGACATCTGTGCACTCAACACAATTGTAAAGTTTTGGCAGAGCCTATCAAAACATTAGACTGACCTTATGACCCGAACTCGCAGTGAGAGGAGCATCCTACGAAACGAGTCGCCATTGCTTTGTGTGGGAGTGAATAGAACACGCGAATTACTTTAATTTTCCAATACTTCAATTCTAACCTTAACAGAGAGCTGGAAACATTCATATAAAAGTGTGAAGAAACTCCGGATTCAGCAGGTAAGAGGTATTACGCCACAACAGGTACCCGGGCAAGTTCATGCATACTTACAACTTTCTAAATTTCTTATTTCCAACATTTGGCTTTTTACACACGATTGATGGCTCGGGTGTAGTGTAATTATCAAGGAAACACCTGGATTTACAACGAAGACTTAAAAAACATGCATAATTAAATGGTTTAAATCCAAAAAGCGGTTTAAAGTGAATAAAGTGATAAATAAATCAATGGGTATTTATTTCAGTGATATAAAATTCAATAAATTCATTCATTTACAATGTATATGTAATAAAAAGATTTTAGAATGATTAGAAAATAATACTTAAGAGAGGTGTTGGAGTTTTGTTTTTTCTTGCTAAATACGAATATTTCATAATTTTGTTATAATGGCGATATTGACTGTACCATCCACAATTTGATGAAATTGTCTGTAGCTAATATTTTAGCTGGTTACAATAATTTAATTTAAAAAACAAGAAATAATTGGGGGAAAATTCATAGAAAATTAAGACTTCAATAGGCTACTAAGAATATCCCCTTTGGATTGTATTTTGGCTTTGATTTGAAACATATTTGTGAATCATGTCGATTTTCTGGAATATGAAAGAGGAGGATTTTATTTTTTTTTTCACATGACGGATAGAAATACATTGTATTAGTTGAAGACGAGATACAATGACGAAGCTTTCTAGAGAATTGTTGACCCGAGATTGTCATACTAAAGCTACTACAGTGAAACTGAAAGATATACAACCACACAACCAGGCGGAGGACTTTTTTGGTTCGTCTGCAGAGTCCAACAGTGGTTTGAGAAAAAAAGATGAAAAACGTGGCAATTCAGATTCCATCTATTTAGGATGATAAACTTGGGCCGCTGTGATGTCAGTCGGCGGGTTCTAATTTCTAGGCGTGTAAATCTCGTTTTTATGGGAAATGTTCATAGAAGTACCGACTTCATCAGAAGATATCTGATTGTCAAGGACAAAGTACAAGAATCTTTTTTTCCTTTGTTACTGTCTTCCTATATTTTTATGATTAACAGAACGTTTTTTCTGCATGCAAATTTTAAAAATACAATGTATGTGCTTATTCTTTTTCCTTCATTCACATTGTAGCCTGGGCTAATGTCTGTAACAAAAAAAGCTGTAGAAAAAGTACCAAGCGAAGACCTACAGTACTAAAAAATAATACGACCCGATAGATGTTTGTCAATTTACAGTTTAAGGTTGTTGCTAAAGACCGCAAAGCTTTTCGAAAAAGCTCTAGCTCTACTTGTGCCGAAATATGACTGAAATATTGCTGACACTCAACGTTAATCTGAGATTCCTCTGACTCTTACCCCTGTGCATGGGTCTCCCCTGCACATGTCACAATATAAAAGCAGGGGTTAGAGTCAGAGGAATCTCGGATTAACTCAACGTTAAACAAATAACGAATCAATCAATCTTGTGTGATGACGCAGACAATATAAGACCAAAGAATGAATGTGTTTGCTTCTGATATATAACCCTGAGGAGATTTTATACTGTGATAGAACACGTTACTTTTAGGCTCTGTTCAGACAGATGTATAACTTCTTGGCGAGTGGGAATTTATTTTCCTTTGTTTTTCGTACACTATTGGCGGTTTAGCAGCAGTGCATCCTCGTAAGCCAGGGGTCCTGAGTCAACACGTTGCCGTTGGACCCCTGGCATATTTCATTCAATATTTGTGGGCTGACTGTAGCGACGTCTTTCGGAAAAATTATAAATCTTGATTGTTTTTGTTATCTCTCAACCAATCACATTAAGCCATTCTATGATAAACAACTTGTAACACGTGCATAATTCATAAATGATAACATGTTGTAGTAGCCATACAGTTTTATATATAGTATTCCCTTTAACTGAAATAGTACAATATTATTGTTGAAATGAGCAATGTCATTTACAAATTGTTATACTATCCATTGGCATATCTTTTCTTTATTATTGTAATAATTTCATACTTGTCTGTTATGGGCTCTAAATTAGAAAATAAATGTTCTGTTCTGTTCTGTTCGTGCATTTGAGGCGTCGACTGAATCCTTATCTAATTATTTTTGAAAGTTTTAATTTGATTGATGCTTCTCGATGAGAGAAGCAAGCCCACGAATATTGAATGAAATATGCCAGGGGTCCAACGGCAACGTGTTGACTCAGGACCCCTGGCTTGCGAGGATGGCAGCAGTGCTATTGGGCCAGTGCCTGAAATAAGCCTTCTCGGGAAACACCCCCTCCCCTTCTCTCCCATCGTTTGTGACTACCGTGAGTCTCCTGTGAAATTCATTTTTTATGTATCATCGAATATTGCGTTCACCTACTTTTTCAGTCTTGTGCAAAAACTTCCATGCAACAAATATATATATATTCTTTTAAATAGATTATGTATGTACAAATAAACAAGTATATATGTAGATAAAAAAAATCCTAAGTTTAAAAAGTTTTATTCAAAATAAAATCCTTGTTTTTAATAATTTAAAAAAGATATGAGTTTTTAAAATTTTGATGAGCAGGTTTGTCACTTACTGAAATAGAGCATTGATTTCACTGAAGTTATTTCAAAATATAACTTTTTTCCTTTATATTTAATTTGAATAAAACTTTGAACAGCTGAAGAAAACATAAATTTATAGATTCCTGTCCATTGATTTTTAATAATTTTGATGAGCAATGTTGATGCAGTTATTGAATGATGTAGAATACTTATTAGTAATCTTCGTAATTTTCAAAAGGCAATTCTAGCATATAAAGGAAAATTTACTATAGCAAAATACTACCGGTATACTCAGAAAATGTTGGGGGGGGGGGGGGGAGGGAGACTGCCCCCCGCGTTCTACGGGCCTGTTATCTACATTGTGTTTTTTAAGTTGCATGTTGCTGTTACTGAAAATAAAATAATCTCTAAATATTTTTAAAATTGTACTACTCCTATAGTTTGTGATTGAGTATAAAGATGTAAAAAAAAAAAAAAAGACTTAAAATATTTCAAAATGCTACTTCTCGTACATTTTTGTGCGAGTTGAATAAAACCTAACACAAAGACGCGATATATTGTTACTGTATAGTCAGCCTTTACCAGGTCAACATTCTACCCTACTGCTTTGTATAATTGATGAAGAACGTTTTTATGTAGACAGAATCGGGTTATGTGCATTCTATAGAGTATGGGTTAACGTTCTAACGTTCACCTTTCCGCTCCTTGAAATTAATTGGACCCCCCCCTTCTGTGCCCTGCTAATCACTGGGAGATGTCCTCCTGACCGGGAGGTGGAGATAGAATTTTAAACAGGGTCTAAATATTACATTTATTTTAAAACACATTTCCAGTATTTAAAACGAGAACTCTGCTTGTAGAACATTAGTTTTATATGTACGTCAAAACACTGTCCTAAGCACCAGCCTTTGGTCTAGTAGTGTTATTACACTGATCTCGCATTCTCATACAAAAACATGAGAATTATGTTCAATTTCTCTTGAAATTCAAGGGTAATTTGAATAAATGAAAAGAGATAACAATAACTTGATGTGGTTTTCACATGGAGGAAAACGCGTTAAATATTGTTCAAAACGGATTGTAATTTTGCTTCAAGCAAAGATTGAGTCAACCGCCCAACTTTTAATGTAGGTAATTGCTTGCATTTTCGTAATAACATCTACAAGAAGAATTATGTTGGATTCGCATAAAAGCGAGAGGAGATGCTTTGTCGGTGTGTTTTGTTGACTTAGGAGCTGCAGCCCACGATGTTTTTGATTGGCTCATGCAAACATTTATGAGGCCAATCAGAGAGCGAATTTCTAAACCCGTCAAACTTAGTCTATTCGGTCAAGGGTTTATGTGGAGTGGAGTAGATCAGAAAACCCTTGACATGGGAAGATGATATTGAAGCATATAAAAAATGACTTTGACTTCAGAAATCGTGGACCCCCACCCCCAACACCATCACCACCACGAAAAAGTTTTTTTCACGTTTGGGAATGGGCTTTTTTTGCCTAGTTATAAATTTCTGAATTGGAATTTTTTTGACTCGGGTGGAAACCCCCCCCCCCCCAGCCCCCAAGCAAAAATTGTCTTAAACAGTGTTTGCCATCGGTATTGGTAGTTTAGTATTGATCATGAGAACACCTGTTGTAAACTGAGTTCAATACCCCAAATGAACAAGTTTTCTTGTTGAAATGCAATAATCAGTAGAGTCTTATCTTCTAAATACACTGTACTAACAGTAATTCAGTGTAAGATTTTTTTTTTTAAATTAAAAAAAAATTGCAGAACTGTTGAAGTTAGTAATGAACTAAGAAACACGAAAAAAAAAAACAAAATTTTTAATCCTTTAAATGCTGATTTTAAGAGTCAGTGTTTTATCTTTGTTCATTTATATGTATATGCACGTACAAAATTTTATTTCAGGACCTTTTTGGACTTAAAATTGTTAATTTATTAATAACAAAATAAGTTCGTGTCTTTTTTTTCTTTTCCAGCAAACGTTTTGCGATGTCAGGCTTGACAAATTGTAAAGAGATAGCAGAATGCAATGTAGAGCAAACGCTAATTGTGCATCAGAACGAGGTCACCCTAGTTGAAAACGAGGTCAATGCTAACAAAAGGGAGGAGATACGAACTGATCGACACATCATATACGGGGTTGAGGAACATCCTCCAATCTACCTTACCGTGGTCTCGGGTTTTCAGGTAAAAATAGCTTTTGAATGACAAGCTTCAGAATTTATCAAGGCACGGATGGTTATATAAGCCATAAGCACTCCCCAGCTTAATTAAAAAGCGATGTACATTGTACCACCCGAAATACCTCAAGCCTGTTCACAGAAAAACGCAATTCAGTCGCCCGCGTGGCGCAGTGGTTAGAGCGTCTGCTCTAAAGTCGCGAAGTAAGGAGTTGATCCTTACGTCGCGGGTTCGAATCCCACTGTGGGACGTGGAGATCGGTCCTTCGGATGAGACCGTATAAACCGAGGTCCCGTGTTGCAGTAGGTGCTGGCACGAAAAAGATCCCTAACTGCTCAATGGCCATGAGTGTCGAGTATAGGTCAAAATTTGCAGCTCTCCACCGGCAAGTGGTGGCGTCTCCATATGAGTGAAAAATTCTCGAGAGGGACGTTAAACAATAATCAAACAAACAAACAAAAACAATACATACCTCAGCAAGGAATGATACAGTCTCGATCATCCAGACGCTTTTCTCTGTATGGTACACTCGAAGTGTCTTGAAGATCAAGACTAGGAATGTTTGTTTGTTTGTTTGTATGTTGTTTAACCTCCGTGTTCGTTACGGAAAGGCCGGTCTTTCGGATGAGACTGTATAAACCGAGGTTCCGTGTCGCAGTAGGTGCTGGCACGAAAAAGATCCCTCACTGCTCAATGGCCCTAAGTGCCGAGCATAGGTCAAAATTTACAGCCTTCCACCGGAAAGTGGTGGCGTCTCCATATGAGTGAGAAAAATTCTCGAGAGGGACGTTAAGCAACAAACAAACAAACAATCCATGTTTGAACCGTTCTCACGAAAAAAAAAAAAAAAAGAAAAAGAAAAAAATGCAAACAACAATGTGCTTACTATTATTGATCGCAAGTCAGTAGCCTTTTAGAAAATTTTGGCTTCAAAACAGAACCCTTAGCCAGGTAAATTCAAAGCGTAACCGCTTTGCAAGCCGATTTACATCTTGCACAATTTTGTCAAAATCTGCGATGGAGATTTAGTGCCATATATACACACGAATGTCCAACCCAAATGTAAATATAAGTAATAAATAATAACAAGTTTAAAAACTTCTTGGAAATGAGATGGGTCGGTACGTGATCTAATATACTGAGAAGGCCTTCAACCTTCACAGGATTTGATCATGTGATCGACCCACTTCATTTCCCAGTGAAGTTTTTAAACTTGTTACTCATTTCTTAAGAGCGTGTCTCAGAGAAAAACATGCAAAAAATAATCAATATTAATATTACAGCATGCTTTGATTTCCCTTTCTGGTGTGGTGGCAGTGTCTCTCCTAGTTGCTGACGTCACATGTGCTGAGAAATATGATGACATCAAAACAAGGCTTCTTAGCTCATCACTCTTGATGTGCGGGATTTGTACTCTTCTCATGTCGCTAATCGGTTGTCGGTAAATATGATTTTTTCATTAAAAAAATACGTTTCGTGGTTAAAAAATTAAGCAAAAAAAATTTACCAATTTACATGCAGGATAGAATTATGGTGTTGGTATTTCTTACATGTCAGTTTATTTATGTCGCAGAGGATCAGGGTTGTTGATGTTAGACTTATGAAAAATACAATCAATAATAAGAAGTAAGGGTCATTGATACTCTGATAAGAAAGATAACTCTTAATGACATAGATGTCTATAATTCCTTTATGTGAAGTTGAAATATCTTTTTTGTAAAAGTTACAGTTTTTATGAGGTATTATGAGAAGGAAGATGTGAAAAAATGAAATGTCTTGTTGAAATGTCACATAATTAGCCCCCGCATGACTTCAGCTTTTCCACCGTCAACTAACCTTATCTATATGTAGTAATACAATATATTATGCTTTCATGTAAATTATTTGAATATGATTCATTGAGAAACATTTGTTTAAAACATGTTACTCTCCAAATGATGAGACTACACCCCCAGCGACCAAGAACTTAGCAACAGTCAACATTATTTGACAAGTGACATTAAAAAAATATTTATGTCATTGTGCGGAATGTATGTAAGCGGTTCACCTTTATTTGTATAAAAACATTCAGTACAATGTTATAAGTACTCCATGTAGTTGAGGGTAACATTGAAAATTTTACCACTCGAAGGCTGCGCCTCGGTTGACAATGCTTTTTTGGGGGTGAAAATGTTTAAAGTTACACTCAGCTACTTGCAGTATTTATTCTGCATATGGTTTATGTTTTCCAACTGATTTTTGACATGCAAGAGCATGCTATATTAGCAATTTTTAAACTGAGATAGGCTACTGACAAATAAGTTGATGTTACAGTCAACAACCTCTCAAGTTATAGCCTTTTGCAAATTTTATGGCCGTTGTAATAACCTTGTTTGCAAATTTAGCCTCTTTTGGTCGTATTATGTCTGACATGTGTTAAGTCATGTTTTTTTAAACACTGAGTACTCTGTCTACTTGAACAATATAGGGTTCTCGGCGGATATGACCAGTCGACAGGGGATACTGACTCCTCCTAGGCACCTGATCTCACCTAATGGCTATGGTGTTTCCAGGTGTCCATGTTTTTGCCCTTTTCACGATTTGTACTTAATTAACTTAAATTATCATCTGAAAATCATTTTTGGCATTGTATAAATTCAGGTTTTAGGGCCTATAGGGGGTCGAAATAAGGCCCAATCGCCAATGCTAAAATGCAGGTATTTTCCCCAAATTTTGCTTTAAAATTCCTAAAAAAAAAAAGAAAGAACATCAGCAGGGTAGTATTATTGTTCATAAATCTCCTTCACAGGCCCCAAGATTACAATTTTTGCCTCAAAATTGTTAAGTAAACCTTTTTTTTTTTTTTAAACTGAAAGTCAAAAGGAGATACCTGCTTTATGCACTAATTTGTTTTATCTCCTTTTTTCCCGTACTTTATGTATGAAACATTTGTCGCAATTTCAAGTAAATGTCGCTTTTTTTTTCAATCGGAAAGAACCACACCCTTTATATCAAGACCTAAAAGCCCCAGAAATTTCTGAACTTGACTTTGAGCTCAAATTCAATAGCGTCGTCTTTTTGTCACTCTGACTGGAAGCTTTGATATAACTTTTTAATCAAAAAGCTCAAAGAGGACTTAAGTTATCATCTGGAAACCATTTCATGCAATATATGATATTTGACCTCAAAATCAAAAAGGGTTTTCTTTAGACCAGAGGGAGTTGGGATATAAAGTTTTATTGCAAAAGGTCAAAGGCTTTTTGAGATATAGCCCGGGAAGGAAAATGTTACATAGGCAGAAGGACAGACAGAGAGACAGAAGGACGGACCCAAATACCTCGACTGTCAATGAAAGTGGGGCACAAATGTCAAGGAGGAATTTGTCACGAAAAGAATTTGTTACTGGTGAAGGCATTGTCCTTCACATGCACATCTTATTAGACAGAAGTGCTCTACTGGTATTGAATATCTTTTGTAGTCTTCCATTGTTTCAAGGAGCGGCGTCTGACTTCCTCATTCCTTTATTAGCCATGCAGGTTTTGGATCCCACAAAATGTGACCCGACTAGTCATATTGCTATAGGTGTAGTATTGGTTTTTATTTCGTAGAAATTAGAAAATAGCCATGCAAGAATGTTATCTCGATTAAAGCTGCTGGTGTTTTATTTTAGCTGCAAAGCAGATTGGTCATTTACAGTGAATTTCATGTATATTTACATTCAGTGTAATTCTTCTGTATGAAATCCATTGGAAATCTACAACATTCAACCCCTATAACACACATGAAACCTTTTCAAGGCGCGGCAGAATACACTATGTACTACATACACTTTCAGTACACTAGAAATACCAGAATGTATATATATTAATTTGGCTCAATTTAATAAATAACAGTTACTTTATAAAATTCTTGTTAGAATATAAAAACTTCACGATTAAATCAATTTGTCATTCTTCCCTCGCAATATTCGTTTGCCGAATAACGTTATTAAGCTTTCCACGTTATAACGGCTCTTACGTTTATTAACCACACCAGTTCTAAAAGGTGCTTCATTTAGAATAAAAATGAATTAAATTAACTTTTATGAAAGGAGAAAAATTAGAGAATGGAAATATTTAACAGCATCTGTACGTGTCTACAAATGATCATTTCGCGCTATTGCGCGGTATTTATTTGCACGGCCAGGAGCAGTTAACCAACCGACGACATCCAAATATTAGAATCAAATGCTTAAAAGTTAAATGATAGCTATAGTTATGGAAGCTCATAGAAAGGTGGAGATAACGAGTCTATCTAGTTCACTTTTGACATAGGGTATATACATTATATATTTTGCCATATTTTTATTCTTAAAAGTGTTCAAAGATAATACAGTAATCAGTGTTGTTTACGTTCATCAGAAACAAGTAATATGTTCAATAACTTTATCTTGGTCTAATATGATATTAAGCATACTTAAGTCTATTTCAAGTGTGCTGTTTATTCCAAGTTGCGTCAAAGGACAGATCACTCTTGTAACTGCATGAAACTACCATGGAATTAGAACTCTTCTGTGAACAGTGTTTAGAGCGTCCTTAAATGTCTTTTTAACATCAAGCTAGGAAAGCAATTAAACAAGAATCCCAAGGGCAATACTCTCGTTTTTCATAGTTCCATTTCTTATAAATGTGTAGATGAAATCGGGGCTCCATAGACGAAGACTGTAACTTCTATGTTAAGCAATGAACCCTATTATTTCCCATCCTGGCCCGTGATCAGGATTTGAGCAAATTTCAATCCACGTTTTAAACCAGATGCATATGGTATCATTTTTTCTTACATGTAAAGCTGTCTCATCATTAATTAATTACAATGACTTCCCCAAATCTAGTCCTTGCATGTCCTTACTGACTGATCGGTCTTCCAGCTTACTGTTGACTTGCTGCAGAACTGTAGCGTTATGGTTTTATATTTTAGTCTTTGACCATAACGCTACAAATCCCGTAATGCAAATATGGTGCAATTTGCGGCGCAAGATTTTTCGCGCATTTTTGGGATGTATTTCGCCACTTTTCCTTTTTTATAAAAATGCGTAAACTGTTCCAACCCAGGTTATACCAGTATAACTTGAGTAGTTATTAAATTATTTCCCCATAATCATCAAGTGTAAAAAAAAATTAAGACAATTTATCCTTCAAAAATCCCTTCAAATTGTACGTATTTTAAATGTAACGTCAAGCGGATTGATACGTTTTTGACATAAGTCATTGTGACGTAGGCAACCCAGGTTATACGATATATTCTAAATTTTTTTATCCAATCAAATGACGAGTTACAACCAAAATTAAATAATTCATATATAATTTTTACATGGGAAATTGCATTAATTATACGAATAGTATAACTAGATTAAATTTTAAAAAATGTCCTATAAAACTCCCAAAACCTGAGAGCCTCCGGGGACTTTGCACCCTGGACCCCCCCCCCCCCCCTAACCTCCGGGTCCAACTGCTGTTTGCACCCCCCCCCCTTTTTGGAAATTCCAGGATCCGCCACTGTTGTTGTTGTCATACATGTAGTATTATTGTGCGTGACCTAACAAAAAAAGACGTTTCACACATTTGGTAAACAGTTCTGTTCAACATATATACACTTTATTTTTTTCAGCTCAAAATAAAAGCCTAGCAATGAATGAAAGTGACCCTGAATCTGACCAAAGGGAATTTGTACTGGACAACATTCGTGAGGTGTGTGCCTGTTTAGTTTTTAGATCTTAGGAAACAGAAGTGTTACACATAGACAGAAATATTGCTAGTCGAATGGACGGACGGACAAACAGACGGTCAGACCCAAATTAATGTCCTCCACTTTCAGTGAAAGCGGGGGCAATTGATGCACCACTGTAAAGGTTTGGTAACTAAACAATATCTACAGTGATTGAAGTACTAGCAAATGCAAGATTAAATGAAGGGGGAAGACCTGCTATGGGAGAAGTCTGACTCTACAACTGGTGGTAGAATAGGTCTTCCCGGCGGGAAATGGGGCTTCAGAGTGATACTTCCCGGGGGGTTTTCCTGCTCTAGAGTCATTACACTCATAACCCAAGGGGAAGTCTCACTCTAGAGCAAAACTTCCGGGGAAGTCTCACTCTAGAGCATGACTTCAAGTGGGAAAGTCTTTACGAACATCGATTTAAAAAAAAAAAACCTTTGATCGAGCTCTCGCAATGAAACTTTATTATATCATTACTTTGTATAGCTTAGTTAAGTACACCGTATTCATATATCTACTATAGGAAGTTTTTTTTTCACTCTAGATCGAGACTTCAACGGGGGAAACATGACTCTAGAGTGAGCTTTCTCTAAGGAGATAGTATCACTTTAGAACATAAATTGGTTAAATTTACTCTCTTTAAACTTTCGGGGAGTCGGGAATTATGGCTCTGGAGGGGAAGTAAGGCTATAGAGTTAGTCATTCCCCAGTGGGGAGACACCCTCTAAAGCGGAGGGAGTCTCGCTATGGGGGAAAGTTTCGCTCTTGAACACCGGAAATACGGAAACAATTTAAAGCAATATTGACAGAAATATCCTTGGATTATGGGGTATCACATGGACATTCCAGATTTAAATTTGCATATACGCGTGCCAAGTCCCTCTGACCCAGAATGGAGTCACGCAAGGAGTTATAGTTTTTCCTGGAAATGTTCAATTTATTTGGGCAAATTCTTTATAAATCTGCTCAAATCTCTAAGACGTGAACATAGGTAGTGACTGTTCCTTTACCGAGCGCCCGGCATTACAACTGAAAGTCACGGGTCTTTCGGATGAAACTTAAAAAACCGAGGTCCCGTGTCACGGTAGGCGTTGGCATGATAAAGAACCCTCACTATTCAATGGTCCTGAGTGCCGAGTATAGGTCTAAATTTGAAGTCCTTCATCGGTATATGGTGACATCTCTATACGGATAAAACAATATACAATCAATCAATCTGTTCTTACAATAACTCAAGGCAAAGATGTCCAAAGCCTTATATTGTAAGGGGAAAAAAATCTTTAAAAAATCTTCCCAGTTGGCTCAATAATATTAAAGCCACATAATGTCAATTTTTTATGCCAGAATCCTCCTGTAGTGTAGAAACCATGACGGGATAAGGTAATAAAAGGTGCTGGTCCTTAGTTTTACACATGTATAGAAAAACAAACAAACTTTTTGGCAAGAAAACAGACCTCCATATTATAAAATATTTAATTTAATAAGCGATGATTCCAATGTGTAGATTATTATAGTTTATTCAAATCATGGATAGCGCCACATACATGTACATGTATATGTTTTGCACAGGAGTATACTTATATATAGGGAACAAACTACTGCATGGGGTGTTAAATTCAGGTACATGTAGTTACTTCATGAAAGATGATCTTTAAGGTTATTGGCTCTCTTTATTTGAAATTAACTTAAAATCATGATTTTATTTTCATAAGTAAAACACTGCTAAACTTTTGCACAGAAGTTCTAACAAGAGTGAAAAATTCAGGATAAACAGTTACCGAATGAGACAACAAGCCTCTATATAATATATGTATTGTTAATTCAGTTACAGGGAAGTTTGGTTGCAGCCGGAGCATTCCAGTTTTTGATTGGAGCAACAGGTCTCGTGAGCCTTTTGCTTCGTTTTATTGGACCAATCACAATTGTTCCCACACTCTTTCTCAGTGTTGTCTTCCTCGTCCGCGCTGCAGTCAAATTCGTCAAGTTTCACTGGGGAATAGCATTTCTGTAAGTAGAAAATTATGAATTTAGCACTCAGAATTATTTTATGGACCCTCTTCTTTTGCAGAAATTAAAATTATATATCACTAAATGTGTAACAAAACGATAGGAATTAAAGGAAGGTTCGTTATGAGTTAGGGACCAGGCAATATTTATCACCCGGGTTGGACCGGTGCAAAGAAAATATAATTTTTTTTTATTTTTCTGATTTTTCATAGAATCATTGTGTTAAGGTTAATCAATGGACATTGGTGTGTTTTTCAATGAAATATGGCAGATTTGATATAATTGTTTTTCTCCTAACAGTTTGTACTTTCTTTATCTAAAAGTGCATTGTTATACATCAAAATCCTTAAATTCCAAAAAAAAAATTGTTTAAGGAGGCAGAAGTCACTTGGCACTTAAAACCCGGCCCCAGGATCATAAAACAAACTTAGACTTAAGTAAAAATTTACAATCACTTGTAAGATGTTTATTACTTGTGAACTGGAACTTTTAATTTACAGACCACAGCAGTTTAATGACGCATTATTGAATAGCATTTTTATTTTGGACTGTTTGACTTCAAAAATATTTCAGCACATTAAAACAGATTTTGACTTAGGCTTAAAATGTTTAACGATCCTGGTCTAAATTGTTGAAAAAAAAGGAGGAACATGTGATTTGAAAGTTTATTTCAGGGTTTTAAATTACTATTCATATATGACTACGAAGCGTGGACCTTCTTATTCCATTACAAATTACAGTCATATTAATGTTCAAAAATTAATATAAGATTTCATAGATATGTATTTACATACATATTATGTGATTTATATGAATTGACAATTTATTTTGATATTTTTTTGTTTCACAAATATGAAAGTCCGTCTACATTACTGTGGTAAAAAAAATAATGCTTGTCCCACCCAAATGGGTGCCCAAAACAGTACCTGTCTAATCATCGGTTCTACCCTAAATATTGCATGGTCCCTGATACAGGCAATCCATTGACTTGGACTATAACGACATCAGTTTTGATAATTTATCAGAAATATACAATTCGCTTTTGTTTTTCTATACCATTTTAAGATAAGATTGGCATTAAAAAAAAAAACCCTCGCACAATAAGGACATCAGTTTTGATTTATCAGAAATATGAATCATTTTAAGATAAGATTGGCATTAAAATAATCAGGTAATTATTTCTCTGCTTGTTTACTGTAAAGAAAAAGATTACCTTTGTAAATGTGTTCTTCATTCCCTGCTTGCAGGAGACATAGATAATAATTTCTTTATTTTTGGAAGATGTGTCATTCCAGTAAAGCAGTTTGTTCACCTTTACTCGGTTGCTTTGCATTTTCTTCATATTTTCAATGGAGCTTAAACTCGCGCTGCGCTGTTCTATAGTTATTATTTAAGACTTTCGGGAAATGATATGTCTGCGCGCATGCGGACTTGTTGACTGTGCAGTTCGGCTGTCTACTTATATTTTCCAAAAGTCGCTCGGTGGAGTTCTTCTGAAGAAAAAAGCTCTAAAAATTTCAAGATTATTGTTCTACATTAATTTTAAGCATCTTATAAAACAATTTAAAAAATCTGTGTATTTAAAAAAAAATTGTAAACAACTGCTGATTTTGGTATTAGCATATTTGAGTAAAAATGTATATAGATTCAAGCAATGCAGCAGCTGCTATATGTGTTGGATTTCCAAATCCTTGCCATCCTTCTTTATTAATGTTCACAAAATAAAACAAAGATTGGCTTAAAAAGAAGGAATTGACCGTTTCTAAGGATCGTTTTCATGTTTTTTTTTGTTTTTTTTTTATCTCACAGCATATGCCACAAAGAACACAAATGAATGGATTAGTCTTTACGGGAAATACCCCTTCATTTTATAGCCAAAATAGTGTTCTTTTGTTTAAAACATAATTCCAGGGTTGCGGCTATTTCTATGATTTTGTTCCTGTATCTTGGTCACAAGAAAACGCCGGTGCCTATGTGGACCAAAAAGAAAAGATTTCATATCTTTTGGTTTCCATTACACCAAATATACTCTGTGAGTACATATTTCGGAACGTAATTGCATGTTTACTAGATTTCTTTATTGTGTGACAATCAATTATTTTATGTAATTATTTTAAGTAATTTTATGGTTTCCAGATAGGGCCATTTGCAAAATTTTAACAGCGCGTTAGGAACAACCCGCTAGCGCGAGGTAACAACGCGCTAGCGCTGGTGCGTTGTTAACAACGCATTGTTGCAGTTTTGTTAGTGACAACGCGCCAGCAAAGTGACAACGCACTAGCGCACAGTGACAACGCGCCGGCGCGTTCTTAACAACACGCCGTCGCGCTAACACACAACACGCCGTCACGCTAACGCAACTTTACACAACACCCCGTCGCGCTAACACACAATACGCTGTCAGTTAACACAATTTACACAACACGCCGTCGCGCATACACACAATAAATTGTGTAAAGTTGTGTAGCGTAACGGCGTGTTGTGTGTTAGCGTGACGGCGTGTTGTGTATAGTTGCGTTAGCGTGACGGCTTGTTGTGTGTTAGCGTGACGGCGTGCTGTGTGTAAGCGCGACGATGTGTTGTGAACAACACGCTAGGGCATTGTCACTTCGCGCTAGCGCGTTGTTCCTAATGCGCTTGTTATACTTTTGCAAATGGCCCTATCGGGACACCATACTTTTTACATATTGCAAATGATGTTCTTGAACTGAATCTTGTTGTACTATTTGATTTTCATTTTAAATCTAAATTCTACCAAATTCTGATGCTTTATTCAGTTTTATGCATGTCATTGTTTCATATATTTCCAGATTCTAATAGCTATTGTGATAGGCTGGATATTTTCCGCCATTTTGACGGCTTGTGACGTGTTTGATGATGACGACATTTATACTCGAACAGATTCTAGACTCGATGTCGTTTACGATGCAGCTTGGTTCCAGTTACCATATCCAGGTATTCGTGAAAAGGAAATATTCTTTGTTCTAATAATGTGCAAAGTACCAAAGTAAGCCATGTAATAGTATATTTTTTTCTGCAAGAAAAAAAAAATTAACAACATTACAGCATTGTTTTACTAAGTGAATAAAACGAATCAAATGCTTTGCATGTATATTTTAAACATTTATAATGCCCATTACAGCTTTTTTTTTTTTTTAAAAAAAAACCTTTAAAAATGTGTGGGTTTTTTCTTTAGAATATATTGTTATTGTGTTGGGACATTTTACATTTCCAGGTCAGTTTGGACGTATTTCTTGGAGCACTAGTGTCTTTACTGGGTTTCTGCTCGGAACTGTAACGTCCATCCTAGACTCTATAGGAGATTATTATGCCATTGCGAAAACGTGCAACGTTCCTCCACCACCCTCCCACAGTGTTAATCGCGGCATAGCGATAGAGGGATTGTGTAGTCTTGTTGCAGGGTTGCTGGGTTGCGGTCATGCAACAACAACCAATGGTGGAAACATAGGGGCAGTTGGAGCGACTAGGGTAGGAAATTTTATTGGTATATCTGTGGTGTAAATGAAAGATAACCCAAAATTGTTTTCTGTATGTTTAATATTCTTTAATAAAAAGTCAAATCAGTAAAACACCAAATTAGACCCCAAATTACCAAGACCTTTGTTTTAGGTAGCCAGTCGTGACGTTTTTATCGTAGTTGGGATCATTTACGTATTGTTTGGAATCATTGGAAAAATCTCTGCAGTTTTTCTCATCATACCCTATCCTGTTTTGGGTGGAGCTTTAGTACTTATGTACGGAATGTTCAATGGCGTGGTCCTCTCCAACCTACAAGTCATCAACTTGAACTCTAGTCGGAACCTCGCTATAATTGGCATCGCCATTTTGTTTGGATTGATGGTGCCGCATTGGTTGGAAACAACCCCAGATTCAATACAGACAGGTAACAGTAGTCTACGGATGATAAATGATTTAAAAATTATAAAGCAATATGTTTTAAATAATGGCACGGTTATGCAGGAGTCATATGGGTCATTCTTTGGACTGAAAACAGCGGTGTTTTTAAATTCTGGTCAAAATGCTAGTCCTTTACAGTTTTGATCCAATTTCAATCAAACATATTACACAAGTAGACAACACCAATCTATCGGTTTTCGATTTCGACGACCGCTATTGTCATAGTTACGATACTAGTGAAATTCGTTCAAAACCATACTCCAACCACAGTTTTGTTCTGATTTCAATAAAACTTGGAACGCAGGAAACTTAGAACGCAGGTGTACTTATTAGACCAAAGTACGCTGTGTATCGGTTTTTAATTTCGATGATATGTTAAGTACTTCTCCTCATTTTCTTTTTGAAACCAATGATACTTGGTATAGAAGTGGCCTCAACCAAGGATCGTAATTCTATTTATAGGTGTTGCCAAAGCTGCTACTAAAAATAATAGTGGTAAAAAAATCTTTTAAAGTCTTCTCCTCCATCAGTTTTTCATTTTATTTCAATAAGTCTTGTGCTACTTCAGAAAACATCAGAATAAATATTTTTTTTCAATTTAAATCTAAAAATAAAGGTTCACGTCAAGATGCTTGTTTTCTAACTTAAAAAAAACATTAGTTGCACTACGGACTATTTAGAGATTTCTGTTCAGAATAGTAAATCTAAAAAAAAATTAAAAAAAAAAATAAAATAAAAAAAAAAAAATAAATAAAACAAAAGATGCCATTTTGAAAAAAAATTTAAATGTTAGACTTGGGCCACACCAATTTAATTTCTTGTTCGTCGGACATTTGATGAAAAAAAAAGTACGAGCGGGCAAGGGGTTAAATAATAATATTATTACTTTTTTGTGGGCAAAATTTTTAAGCGGAGCGCGAAAAAATTTGAGCGGATAATTATATTTTTTCTGATTTGCAGAGTAAGCAGATTTAAAATACAAAAAAATAGAGCGGAAATGGAATAGAAAAAACACAATTTCCATGTGCGGGAAATTAAAATTAATATTATTTGTATAGTCTTGTTTAAATACGAGCGCGCTGGTCCGACGAACAAAAAAATTTATTGGTGTGGCCTTGGTGATAATCATTTTTGTGAAGTTTCATTAAGACTGTCCAAGCCAGCTGTGGACAAAATAAAATAACAATATTTCAGATATTAAAATGAAATTAAAATTGCAAACAGGTTCAGAGTCAAGTGATGGCGTGATAAAAATGTTACTGGCTAATCCCAATCTCTGTGGAGGTGTTATGGCGTGTTTCCTCGACAACACGGTAAAGGGTAAGTATCATTTTATTTTTCAGATTTCAGATGTTAATTTAAATTGAAGCTGCTTTGAAATATTCTATGTACATGTTGTCTATAATTGAAGCATATGTTAGAAATATTTAGCAAAGTTGCACACATGCAGGCCCGTAGGCACGGTTTCAAAAGTGGGGGGGGGGGCTTCCAAAAAATAGGACAAAAACTCGGTCCAACTCGGGGGGGGGGGGGGGGGCAACCGGCATACATGTATAAAGGAAAAATTACTATAGGAATATACTACAGTCAGAAAAAGAGGCTTATATGACCATACCAAAATTTCGTTGGTTGTTTATAAAATGGACACTTTTTGAAGATTAATAAAGTTCAATTTTCCATTTTTGAACATATTCATCTTTTAGCCTTTTTTTGAATTTTGTGGTTATCCATTTTACATTATAAAAAGTTGTCCCAAACCATAAGTTCGCTAAGCCTCAAATATAGGAATATTCAATCAGGAAACAATTTGTTCTTCCGTCAAAATTAGTATATTGCGCTGAAATGGCGAAGAAATCAAACAGCGTAAAATAAACTGTTAAGTTTGCATAACCATTAGAATTCACTGATATTTTGTTTGTTTCTTAGTCTCATATCCTGAGATCAGCGCCACAATGTGGAAGCACTCGTAATCTCCTTGTACATTTATCTGGATGTTCCTATGTATCTGATATCGTACTCTACATGATAACTGGTTTCTGTTATTTTTAGTTATAAATGTCATGTTTTAGGCTCTCTAGAGGAGCGCGGTATAGCAGCTTGGAAGAAGATGATTGACGATAAGGGAGGTAACTCACTACAGGGCGATTCCAGTGTATATGATATTTATATACCTGAAAAATTAAAACGAGTTCGCTTCCTCCGACGTCTTCCCTTTCTCCCCCCTTTACGGGATTAATAAACGTTACATCTATAAATACTCATTTTCATGGATATCTTTTAATGCTTTTTGATATGTTTTTGTGTATACACAGAAATTGGTACAGCTGTAATACCTCTTTCGGTGATGTTGACGAAAATAATAAATTAATATTTTATACTCAGGACAAGTAAACATTTTTGTAATAAAGAACGCATTTAAACTGCAGTTTTATTATTTTTTGAGAAATCTGATGTAAACGCATTAACTCTTGTCCTTTTTTGAGTTTATACGATTCTGTTAGAGAGAGAGAGAGAGAGAGAGAGAGAATCTTTGGGTACTGAAGATAAATGATGTCTTGTAAAAGTGCAAGTTTTATTTAAAATGCCAGTGGTTTAATTTAACATAATTTTCTGTCATATCAAAATGTCTCTGGAATCCCGATTCGCATTAAAAATGATTTCAAAGTAATAAAGAGGTCTATGGGCCACAACGCTCACCTTAGGCAATATGGCCCCGCCGTTCTTCATCAGCACATTTTTCTCCTATATATTTTCCTATGTAAAACTTTGATTCTCTGGTGTAACCCAACCCTACCAGGTGGTGATTTGAACAAACTTGAATCTAAACTATCTGAGGATGCTTCTATATTAATATGACTAATCATGGCTTTGCTGTTCTTGAGAAAAAGATTTTAAAGATTTTTTCCAATACATTCCTATATAAAACTGTGGCTCCACTATGAAGGTTTGAACAAATTTGAATTTACATTACATAATGATGTTTCCATATTAATATGACCAATCATGGCTTTGCTGTTCTTATGAAGATTTTTAAAGATTTTTTCCTATGTATTCCTATATAAAACTTTGATCCTCTGTTGTAGCCCAACACTACCCCGGGGTTTATGATTTGAACAAACTAAGTCTAAACTATCTGAGGATGCTTCCATATTCATATGACTTATCATGGCTTTGCTGTTCTTGAGAAGATTTTTAAAGATTTTTTTCTTATACATTCCTATATAAAACTTTTATTCTCAATTGTGGCTTCACCCTACCCCGGGGGTCTTGATTTGAACAAATTTGAATTTTCCCTACCTAATGATGTTTCCATATCAATATGATTAATCATGCCTCTTTTGTTCTAGAGAAGAAGATTTTTAAGGGATTTTTCCTATTTATTCCTACTTTTATGTAAAACTTTGATCCCCTATTGTGCCCCCTCCCTACCCAGGGGGTCATGATTGAACAGATTTGAATTTACACTATACCTAAGGATGTTACCATATCAATATGACTAATCGTTGCTCTGTTGTTCTTGAGAAGAAGATTTTTAAAGATTTTTTTTCTTATCTATTCACATATTGTGACCCCACCCTACCCCGGGGTTTATGATTTTAGCGAATTTGAATTTACACTATGTAATTAAGGTTTACTATAAGTTTAAACTTCTGGGGCCCAATGGTTCTTGAGAAGAAGATTTTTAAAAGATGCCACCAAATTTTTACTGATTCTTAATTATCTCCCCTTGAATGAGGAAAGGCCCTTCATATGAACAAACCTGAATCCCTTTTAGCCAATAATGCATCGTGGCAGGTTTGGTTGAAATTTGCCCAGTGGTTCTGGAGAAGAAGTTGAAAATGTAAAAAGTCTACAGACGGACAGACAGACGGGCGCTGGACAAAATGTGAGCAGAAAAGCTCACTTGAGCTTTCAGCTCAGGAGAGCTAAAAAAAAAAATAGTGGGTAGAGAAAGAAATTTAAATCTCACAGAACACAATATGCATGAGGGTGAAAGTTGGTCTTCAAAAGTACTTCAAATTTGGAAAAATATGGATTACATAATGTTTTAAAGGATGGATTCTTCTCATATTTACTGTATTTGAGAGTTAATGAATTTTTCACAGTTTCAGGAAAATTATTTCGCTAGGCGATGATATCAATTAAATTAAATTTGACTCTCTTTATTATTAGCAAGGTCAGGTCAAGGTCATTATCCTTTTCGTCGACTTCAAGGATAAAAAGCACGTAGCTAATCATGTGATACGTATTCTACTACAAAGTATTATATGGTGTTTTTTTTTTTTTTCATTTTTGTGTAAAAAGATAATATCACGATATGTCTATCAGATTAGATAAAATTATTATCTATTAGCTAAATGCGATTTATCATCAGGGACATATAGAATATATTAGAATGAGTTTCTTCCAAACAAAGAAATTTTTGTTAGTTTTTTTTTTAAATAAAACAAACAAACAAACAAAACAAAAAAAAAAAAAAACAAACATAAAACACATAAACATAAGCATGGAAAAATAACTAAGAAAATTATTTTTCAGTGCTTATGTATTTAAATTTTTTTCTTATTTTTATATGAAGCGGTTTATAAAAAAAGCGTAAACTGTTCCAACCCAGTTTATAACGTATAAATTGGGTAGCTATTAAATTCATTCCTTATGATTTAATTTTCATTCATTTGGTGTAAGAAAAAAAGATGATTGTCCTTAGAAAATGACTTCAATTTGTACAAAATTTGAATGTAACGTCAGGCGGATCGATCCGTTTTTGACGCAAGTCATTGTGACGTAGGCAACCCATTTTATACGATATAAAGTAAATTTTTTATCCAATCAAATACAGCGTTACAACCAGAATTAAATTATTCGGTGAAGAAGTTGTAGAGATATACAAACTGATGGAAAAGCAAACAAAATTGACCGGTGATCTAGAAAGAAGTTTCAGTCAAATCTATTTATGGGTCAAAAGCTCTTTAAAGCACAGTTTAAACGTTTATATACTACTTGGCATTTAGTTGGCTGACAATTGTAGTAAATGAGTTCATTTGTCAGTGTTTTCATTTTTTTACCGCGTAACTCTACTGACAATCCACAGACCGTTTATCGTGTGATACAGAGTCTCTACCACTGAAAAAACGGCCTGTGCAATTTTCGCACATGCAAGCCTCATTTTTGATATGTTGCCTGCTTCTTCCAGCATTTTCAGCGTTTATTCTGGTCGGAGTTTTCAAGAGTATATACAACATAACATTGTATCATGGCTGTGGTGTTTTTCCTTTGAAGTCAAGTGTACAATAACTGGAGATACACCGATGGGCGGAGCCAGCAAAACTGTGCCGTGTAAATAAATTATTGAACACCAAGGCGATTTCAACATTTTAAATTACATGTATATTAAAGATTTACAGAATTAAATGGGCTTGTATACAAAGACAAATTTCTGCCAGTGAAATAAAGGTCTTTCACATAAATTACAGTGCATATGTATCCCAAAATACGAAATATTTTTTACGGAACTTTGCAAATATTCGATCCACCGCATCGAGAAACCAAGTTCTTGACATGAATTCCACAAATGAATATCTTAAAATATCACACCTATTGTAATAGAGCCTTTTAGCAGGATTTACCATCTTGCTGTATTCTTTGCTCAACTAGAATAAAGTTCAGCTGCACTGCATCCATAGATGAAGAGTTGTTAACAAAGCGTTTTGTTCATGCCACAGCTCTCGAGTATGTCAAATGATAACGGGTATCTTTTTTTCTTGATTTTCGATTAACGAGGTTGGATCCTGATATTTAAAGTCTTAAACTTTTTTTGTCAAGTATATTTTTAGTTTCTTCACACATAGCTTAATTAAAAATCAAAACAAAAAATGGGTGTCAATATTCTTCTTTTGGCGCTACAGTACATTTAATATGACCTTTTTGCACTGAAATTTGTGTCTTAATCAAAAATCACATCTTCGACATTTTCCCTTTAATGTTTTTATCCAAATAAATCATGGGACAAAATAAACTATTGGTCTACTTAAAAAAAGACACTTTAAAATTGTGACTAAGATAAAGTTTCAAATTGCTTCGCATAATCAATTATTTGACCTTTCTGCACTCAAAAAGTGTGATTTCCCTGGCATTAAAAATTTAACAAGCAAGAAAATTATTTTAAAGTCTTAAACTTTTGCTGAATTTAGGCAAATTGATTAAAGTTATCTTATATATTCAGAAAAGAAAAACAAAAGTGGGAGTCTATGATATAAATTTTCAGATATTACTAAAAAAAGTGTTAATTTTATGTTAAAATTGGCTAAATTTTTTCCTGGACTTTCAGAATATATTAACTATATTTGTCACAATATAATGAAAGAATTCATAAGAAATAATTTAACAGATATTTCAGAACCAGAACAAAACATTTCACTGCAAAAAACAGCTCTGTGTGCAACCAGCATGGAAAAATAGGAATCTAAACTTAACAGTACTGTATATATTTCAAAAGGGAAATATTGATCATTTTCTCCTAAAAAACCTTCCGCCACAAAATATAGTTCCTGGCTTAAACCTATTTGAATGGAATTTAATCGCGGTTTTTTCATTGGATATGGTTTAATTTGCATTGTAGAATCTAGATTTAATGTTTGAACTTAAAAATGATGCAGAATTTTATAAATAAAGGTCCAGACCAAAATCTCCTCAAAAGCTCAGGATCGAACCTCCTTAACATCATAATTTTCCATCCTTGATATCCAAAGGTTTTCTTATGAATTTCTTTAACAATCCGTTTCTATGTTAAGTTGGAGAGCTGCAATCCGACGTCCTTTCTCATGAACACACACATAAAATGTGCGAATTAAAAAATACTGGTGGGAAGGAGAGATAATCCGTGCGGTCACCTGACAAAAAGTATATTTTTTATTGGTGTAATTAAAATCATGCTTGAAAATTTGGGACATAACAATTATTGACGTTTTGAGGATGATACAAGAAAGTTATTGAATATTTATTATGGTGTATCCTGATTTATTTGGACGAAGGGGCGGAGACTCGTGCTTCGCACTCGTCACCGCCCTTCGTCCAAATAAATCAGCATACACCATAATAAATATACAATAACTATTACTTATAGCTAGTCATACATGTATTTATATGGAAGCATCTTCAGGAAGTGTACATGTAGATTCAAGTTTGTTCAAATCATGACCCCAAGGGAAAGGTTGGAGTCACAATAGGTACTCGAAGTTTTACATTGTAATAAATAGAAAAAATCTTTAAAAATCGATTTTCTCAAGAACAGAAATCCATGATAAGTCATATATAGTGTCGATTCAAGTTTTGTTCAAATGAGATATTATACCCCTAAGGTAGGATGGGACCATAATGGGCGATTAAACATATTTAAGGTAGG